GATTGAATGAATCACTCCCGACACCCTGTCGTTAACATTTTCTCTGTGTGCCAATGAATGAAACGTTTCGCAACTCTACGGTCTGCGAGATGCTTTAACAGAATTCATTTGAATTCAGCAAGATTGATCTTAGTTGTTTGCGATGGTATTTATTTTCAAGTCTCCAGTGAGCGTGGTCGATGAGTCACTCAGGTAGAGATGCACTCTCTGCCTGGTGTTTGTCAAGCATCGCTAGGTAACGTGGCGACGCTCAAAGGGTAAAACCTGACCCCTTTCCTTCGTAATTTACAGGTAGACTGTGGAGCTCCAACACAGATGTTGAAGTTAGTGATACAGGGTACTGCCAAGTCCATTGGCAATGTCAGGATAGAACCAATTCCTGTTAGTCACACATTTTTGTCATCTTATAAGAGATAACTCCAGTGGCCTTTAAGTTAGAAAAAGAAGAGCGGTTTGGGGAGCAGGTTTTTGGCGGTGCAGCAAAAAGATGCTATTTCCATGTTCTGGTTCCAACTCTTTTCCCCAACCCACTTTGATTTGTTTTAAAAATTTGACAGCTAATTAAAGTGTTATTTTGCTGGCTTAGAGTGGGTAGAAAGATTTCAAATTCACTTAATCTCTTTAACTGAAGAATTTTTTAAAGCAGATTCTGAAATATTCTCATTTTTTCACTTTTTGAACTGACGTTGACAGGCTGATTAAGTTAAAATGAGGTCTTTAGGGTGAGCCCTGATCTAATACGACTGGTGTCCTTACAAAAGGGGGAAATTTGGACACAGAGAAGACGTGCACAAGGAAGCTGATGTGAAGTGAAGAGACCAGGGGAAGGCCCGGGGAGAGCGGAGGCAGTGGGAATTCTGTAACAACAGGGTTACTGAAAGATGGAGGAGGCAAGGGAGGAGCCTCACCCGTGGGTGCCTGCTGACAGCGCGGTTTTGGATCTGTGGCCTCCGGAACTAGGAGAGAAGATGTTTCTGTTCTAAGCTGCCCAGTTTGTGGTGCTTGTTATATGCCCTCCAAATCTCAGTTCAAAGTAAAGTTGGAGTCCATTAGTGGCTAATGGGAAAGTCTTTTCTAAACCTATTGGAGAGTGATGCGAAGGGAGAAGTTAAGGGCTGTTACAAAGCTTTTATTTTGTTTTTTGTTTTTTTTTGTTTTTTTGTTTTTTTAAAATGTTTTATTTATTTCTAGGAGAGAGAGAGCGTGAGCAGGGGAGGGTCAGAGAGAGAGGGAGTCACAGACTGAAACAGGCTCCAGGCTCTGAGCTGGCAGTCAGCACAGAGCCCGACGCGGGGCTCGAACCCACGAACCGCGAGATCATGACCCAAGCAAAAGTCGGACGCTTAACCAACTAAGCCACCCAGGCGCCCCACAAAGCTTTTATTTTGGATTTGAGCCTTTGAGCTATTTTGATCAAAAACAATACTTTCTCTGTTAACATACGTGAAACAACTGATAGTTTACTTTGCTTATTTTAAGTATACCTGGTGATAAAAAAGGGTAGGAAAAATTGATCTCTTTTGTGTGGTCTACATGTCTTTGCTGAGTGTTTTAGAAATGCTGCTTTTCATTTACATGTATAGCTCTGTCTCCTGCCCGTAATAGTTCTCTGTACTCTTCCCATGAGTAAGTTAAACATTAAGAGATACAGGCATTCTCATGTTATTAGAACTATCAAAAAAAGGATTGTAACTTTCAGAAGCTATATCGACGTTGAAGTAGCCTGTGAGGTAGGTTGTGTTTATGCATTGGTAGTCTGTCTTGGCCACTCTTTAATTAGTTACCAGTTAAGTGGAGGAGATTTCTCCTTCATTTTTTTTTTTTTATTTTATTTTTAAAAATTTATTTATTTCTAGGAGAGAGAGAGAGAGAGAGAGAGAGAGCGTGAGCAGGGGAGGGTCAGAGAGAGAGGGAATCACAGACTGAAACAGGCTCCAGGCTCTGAGCTGGCAGTCAACACAGAGCCCGACGCGGGGCTCGAACCCACAAACCGCGAGATCATGACCTAAGCGAAAGTCAGACGCTTAACCGACTAAGCCACCCAGGCGCCCCGATTTCTCCTTCATTTTAAACACTAAAGGTGAGCAGTTAAAAGATACTCTTAGGCTGGGTGACAGCTCCTTTCCTATTCTGACATTGAGACTGCGTTAGATAATGTCTTGATTTCCCATAATGGAGCATTCACTGTCCATATTCTATCTGTCCCTGGATTTAAAAAAAAAAAAAAATCACAAAAACAGTATATTCTCATTATGAGAAAGAGACATATAGTCAAAGTAGCTGTGCATTTTTTTCTATTCAAGGATTAGCAGAAGGAATGTGTAGAGAAGTGAAATTTATTTGTGGGACAGATACTTATAAAATTCCGTGTGCTGTTCTAGGGATTTTGGATGTATCAGAAAACAAAACATGAAAATCCCTGCCCTTGTATTCTGGGCGCAGGCACTTCTGGGGGCCAAGCTGGAAACGCAAGGTGGGGGTTTTGTTGGACGGTGATCGCAGTGCCCCCATCTGGCCACACGGCGGCGGCCTTGTACAGCAGAAAGGCACCTGCCGCCTCAGGGCCTGGAGTGGGCCCTAGGCAGGTGCGTGTGAAATTCCTGATGCTGACTTTGAATTCTGTGGGCGCCTATAGGAGAGTGGGATGATGTGGCCCTGTCCCTGTAGTAAGGGTGTATAGAGGTATGTAGAGCAAAAGATTTTGAAGTTACTATAACAAAAATCTTTTGGGTGATCAGAATTAATTCCTCCCTATTTTATACATAGTAAAGCTTGTAAAGATGTAATTTCCTATCTTCTTTGGCATGTTCGGGTGATACACTGCTTAACCATACAAGAAAATTTAAAAGTGACCCGCAAAGAAAAAATTTGTACCACTAATTTTATTTTAGTTCCTTTTTTGATTTTCTTTCTTTTTTTGACCATATGCACTTTATGATTCATTCATAATTATAAATAATATATATTTTAATTTAACATTGTTACAAAAGGCAACTTTGTAGTTTTTCAAAGCATAATCCTTCAGGGGCGCCTGGGTGGCTGAGTCCGTTAAGCGTCCAACTTCAACTCAGGTCATGATCTCAGGGTTCGTGAGTCCAAGCCCTGTGTTGGGCTTTGTGCTGACAGTTCTGAGTCTAGAGCCTGCTGTGGATTCTGTGGATTCTGTGGATTCTGTATCTCCGTCTCTTTCTGCCTTCTTCCCCACTCTCTTTCTCTCTTTCTCATAAATAAACATGAAAAAAAAAATAAAGCATAGGGGCACCTGGGTAGCTCAGTCGGTTAAATGTCCAACTTTGGCTCAGGTCATGATCTCGCAGTTCATGAGGTCGAGCCCTGCATTGGGCTCTGTACTGACAGCTCAGAGCCTGGAGCTGCTTCAGGTTCTTTGTCTCCCACTCTCTCTGCGCTGCTTCCCCCACTCATGCTCTTTCTCTGTCTGTCTGTCTCTTTCTCTCTCTCAAAAATAAACAAACGTTAAAAAAAATAAAGCACTTGACTGATAGTTGATATCTTGGGTGGCCACAATTTGTAGGGCAGAGTATAGAGTTGTGGGGCAAGTCCTGTTGTGGCATGATACGTTGTAGAAGGGCAGAAAGAGAACTGATTTGAGGGAGAGGAAATAGTCTCACATTACTTCACGTAGTTTCTCAGAAACACACTTCAAGAGTTCTGCTGGCCAGCTTCATAATCTGTACCGGTGTATTTAGCTTCAGGTGCTAATCTTCCGCTAGGGCAACGGGTCCCTAGAAAATGAAGACGCCATCCATTTCTCCAGAGCGTTTGGTACACCTCCCCTGTCCCTGCCGGCCCCTCTGTGTCAGACCCCTGGACTATGAAGCCACAGCCCCTCTGGTCTGCACTTCATTGGGGGGATGCTGTAAACCATCTCCCCTCCCAGGTGGGGGAAGGTGCAAGTTTCCACGCTGCCACCCCCCACTACCCTCCATTTCTCTGCCCCCCATGCTCCTGTGGCTGGGCTCCCTCATTTGCTCGAGCTGGTGTGTGTCAATTTCATTTTGTTAGTGACCAGAGACCAGGTTATGGTCCCGGGGGCGTACTTTTTCTGAGTCTCTTCCCAGATCAGCAGTATCAGCCTCACTTAGGAACTTGATAGAAGTGTAGGTTTTCAGGCCCTGCTCCGGCCTCCTGAATCGGAAACCCTGACGGGGGCCGCAGCAGCCTGTGTTTGAGCAGGTCCTTTGGGGGGTTCTGGTGCCCCACAAGCACTGCTGCTTAATCACGAGGCACGCCTTTGACCCAGGACTGTGCTCCACGTCAAGTCTTGGTTTATGTTAGCATAAAAATGGATGACTTTGTAGCCCCTGAAGTCGAGGCCCTTAACAGTTTAAGCTCTAGATTGCTTTATGAATGTCGTAATATCCTTTATTTAGAGTTGATAATGCTTTTGATTTCAGACTCATTAACGTGATGTCTTTGGGATTTGTGTTGGCCGTTTGAATCATCATCTGTGCGGACGTGGTTGAGAGGAAGAATGCCCTGGTGCCATGCTGTCCCCGGGGCCTTTTCTTGTGTGACCACGTTCCTCCCACCCTCCATTGAGTGCCGCTGCGGCTGTTCCCACTGAGTCAGTCTGCCAGTTGGTGAGACGAGCTTTGTGAATCAGCCCCGGCTGGCACCGTCTACTCGCTGAGCCGCCTTCTGCTTTTTATGGAGCAGATACAAGTCTGTGCCACGAGACAGTCGGGCTTCTCAGCCCTGCCTTCAGCCCTGCAAATAACCCACTTTCTTAAAGCCTCGAGTACAAGTCTGGCAGTAAAATGAGGCCTTAAAAACATAAGACCGACAACAACAACAAAAATAGTGCTTTCTGCTCTGGGGTACGAAGCGGGCCTTTTAGCATATTGGTCAAGGACTGGTTGTGTGCATGATCCCACCTGCGCAGGCAGTGCCCGTTTTCCTAAAAGAAGATTAGGCAAATGGATTCTTAGAAGAGGGTAGTGATTTGAAGTATTGAGTAGTATTATGTCTCTTTTTTCTAGACCTGGAAAGGAAAGAGCAAGAATTAGAGCAACTGAGAATGGATTGTGAGCACTTTAAAGCCCGCCTAGAGATCGTGCAGGTTGACAGCACACGGGAGAAGAAGGTACGATGCTCCCAGGCTGCTGCCTGCCGCACCTGTGTCGTGGCTGCGGCCGCAAAGCAGTGTTGCCAGCAGCTTTTCTAGACCCTGAGCCTCAAGAGCTGGTGTTTGAAGATGTATGTATTCTAAATGGGTTGGAAAATAGTCAACGTTGGCTTTTATGACCATTTAATGTGGAGAGTATTTCCTGGGTGCCTTGTAATAGTCACTTTCTGTTAATTTTTATGTTTAAAAGACCATTTCAGAACATTGAAAGTCACAGTATACTAAGAATCTTGAAAAAAATGCACATCATAATTTATAATCAGAGATTAATGTATTACCTAGAAATATGATTAAGGGATCATTTACTGATATTTTATTATTTAAATGAAATTTTTTTAATGTTTACTTTTGAGAGAGAGAGCACATGAGCATGTGCTATTGGGTGCGGGGCAGACAGAGAGAGAGACACAGAATCCAAAGCAGGCTCCAGGCTCCGAGCTGTCTTGAACTCAAGAACCATGAGATCAGGACCTGAGCTGAAGTCAGAGGCTCAACCAAGTAAGACATCCCAGTGCCCTCATTTAGTGATATTTTAGAAATAACAAATGTATTTTAATATTTGAGAAGACTAATAGAATTTCTCAAAAATTACACATTTTTACTTTATGGAACAAATTCCCCTTTTTTTCTGTAAAGCTAGAACTATCTTGTCACTTTGGATAAAATGATAAAATTAGGAGTATGCATGCTTCTATTTTCAAGTAGTAGCACTGTAATAGTACTATTAATAGCGGCTCGGTATATGGTTCGCTGTTAGCTGGCAGGTGCTTCTCCTAGCTCACAGGAACCACCAGCAGGCGCTGTCAGTATAGAGGAATGTTCGGTAGCTGGTCATGGGTACCCTGCCTCCTCTGGCGAAGGGATTCCAAATGTCTGAGGCTGCAGTGGAGGTTTTCCAAACTGGTGGGTTTTGTATGGACTTTAATATTGAGCAAGTAGAAAAGGTCAGGGAAAGAGTTTTAGTCTCAAAACTGAGTTGAGTTGTCGCATAATAAAAGTTAAAGTTTTAGTTTTGTCATGGTTTAAATCATGACAAACTAAGATGACAGTGTGGCTAATTTGCCTGGGCCAGAAAGTTTTGTGGTCTGAAAGAAGTTGACCAACACACAAGAAGGAATTTGGTAAAAATTAGCAATGCATCTTTTGGTTTGGTACTTACTTAAATTGCTAAGTGTCCTTGTTAAGTTGAAACTTAACTGGGCAGGGGCGCCTGGGTGGCTTAGTCCGTTGGGCATCTGACTTCGGCTCAGGTCATGATCTCACGGTTCATGGGTTTGAGCCCCACATTGGGCTCTGTGCTGACAGCTCAGAGCCTGGAGCCTGCTTCAGATTCTGTATCTCCCTCTCTCTCTCTGACCCTCCCCTGCTCACGCTGTCTCTCTCCCTCTCTCTCAGAAATAGATAAAACACTAAAAAAAAAAAAAAAAAGAAACTTAACTGGGCAGAATCTTAGCTTCCTTTTTTCTTTTTAAATTGATAAGCGTCGGGGGAAAAAAATGCATGTTTTGTGGGCATTTTAGATGTAGTGCTTAAAAATAAGCCATTCGGGTAAAGCGCCAGTCAGCGTGGATGGAGGATGCAGTGGCCTTGGTAAAGTGGTGTCAGATCACCAGCGTGTTACTGCCCTGACACTTTGACCTTAGTTAAAATGTGGGAATATTTTAGATGAAACTATTTCCTATTTCCAGTTAAGTTTCCTGTTTAACTGTCCTGCCAATTTAATACAGATGACAAGGCCACATCTCTTTTTGTTGTAGAGAACTGAGCACTGCCTTTTCCACAGCCTCTTCTGTGGTCTCAGTCCAGGTCTCTACAGATCATGGGGCTGGATGCGGGAAGCTTAGTTTAGAGTTGAGGAACCAGGAAGGAATGCAGGCACTGGAGCCCACATTAGAGCACTGCTAGAAGGTACCACAGCATGGGTAGAAGTCATTAGGAAAAGAGCAGTTACTGGCTCCAAACGTAAGCAAACAGGAGAAAACATAGCGTGGACTCAAAGTCATAAAGAGGAGTGATGGGTGAGCAGCAGCCTCTGACCCCCCTGGAGAATGGCCACTGGCCAAGGGCGGCTTGGTTCCCGGCCTCAGGTGAGCTGTTTCCTCAGCGGTAGTTCAGTCAGATCAATGGGAGTCCAGCTGGGCCTTGATGTGAACTCAGGGGCTGGGCAGGAGAGGCCTTCTGGCAGTGGCAACCTTTGAACTCCGGAGAAGAAAGAGCCCAGCTTCCCTGGTGTGGGTGAAGCTGTTGGGGGACATCTGAACTGCTTTTCGAAGGACTGTGCTGTCCCTGTGAGGTTGGATGAGGCTCTCCACAAAGTGCCAGCAGAGCTTTTTTAGTGTCTGACCTGGCTTTCCCGCGTGTGTGAACTAGTCCCCGACGGTGTGGGGGTTCACCGGTGCCAAGACGCATGTCGGTTGCTTGCTTGTGGTCTCATTTTCTCTGTGTTTTTGTGCGCACCTTTCATGGTTAACAAACTTGCACGTGACTACCTGTTTTTGGTTATCTGTGTTTTTGATTTGTTAGCAAAGAGTTGCTACTTTTGTGCTGATAAATGGAAGCTGTTGCAAACATTGTATTATTATAGGAAACTTTTTGAAGAAAAACTGATAGTATAGTTCAGTTAAAATCAGAAATGAACTACAGAGGGTTTTGAAGGAATCCTGAAAGTTTTATGCTTGATATGCTGTTAGGTATGAATATTCACTTTAAATATGTAAATATATCAGGTTTTGATTATTGTTCCTTTGTTAAAAGCAACTTTATTGAGATGTGTTTTGCATAACACAGACTCAGTCTGCTGTAAAAGTGAAATTTGAAGATTTTTGGTCGTCGCATGGAGTTCTGCAGCTTTCACTGCAATCCAGTTTGGTTTTGGTGAAAAGTTTTCAGAAAGAATGACAGGTTTGCAGGAAGGCATAACAGATCCAGGGGAGCCCCCGTACCCTCCATCCAGTCTGTCCGAGTGCAGCCTCCTGCGTCACTTCAGTACAAGGTCAAAGCTGGGAAGCCGACACTGGTACAACCCACACAGGTTATTTGGATACACCGGTTTTACCTGGATTTGTTTGTATTTCCCCAAGTGTGTGTGTACATGTGCACACACGCTCAGTTATGTGCCCTTTTATCACACGGATAGATTCATGTATCCACCACTGCCGCACTGAAGATCCCAAACTCCTCCGTCACCACAAAGATGCTGCCCTGCTACAGGCACACCCACCCTGTGCCCTGTACTTAACTCCAGGCAACCACTACCACATAGTTGTCACATTAATCTCTATCATTTTAGGGCGCCTGGGGGGCTCAGTCGGTTAAGCACGTGACTTCAGCTCAGGTCATGATCTCGCCATTCCTGAGTTTGAGCCCCGCATTGGGCTCTGTGCTGACAGTTCGGAGCCTGGAGCCTGCTTCCGATTCTGTGTCTCCCTCTCTCTGCCCCTCCTCTACTTGTGCTGTGTCTCTCTCGCTCTCAAAAATACATAAATGTTAAAAAAAAAATTTAATCTCTATCATTTTATTTCAAGAATGTCATGAAAATGGAGTGTCATGAAAATGACTTTTTCCATTCAGATTCACCCAGATTGTTGCTTGTATCAATAGTCTGTTCCTTTTTATTACTGTGTATTGTTCCACGGTATGGCTGGATCCCACTTGACTTACCTGTTTTCTCATGGAAGGAGTTGTTGGGTTGTTTCCAGTTTTTCGCTGTTAGGAGTAGAGGTGCTGTAAACATCTGTGTATAGGTTTTTGTGTGATTATATGTTTTCCTTTCTCTGGGATAGATGCCCAAGAGTGCAGTCACTGGGTTATGTGCTAATGCATGTTTACTTTTGTGAGAAATTGCCAAGTTGTTTTGCAGAGTGGCTGTCCCATTTTATATTCCCACCCACCACGTATGAGTGATTCATTTCTTCCACATCTTAACTGGCATTTAGTGTTATCATTGATTTTATTGTAGCCATTCTGGTAGGTGAGTTGTGGCTCTGATTTGCATTTTTCTTGTGGGTAGTAATGCTGAGATCTCCTAACAAGATTATTTGCCATTTTTGTAGCCTCTTCTGTGAAATACCTGTTCATGTCTTTCCCCCATTTTCTAATTTTTTTTTTCTTACTGTTGAGTTTAAAGAGCTCTTGATATACCTTGGATAAAAGTCTGTTATTAGATACCTGGTTTGCAGATAGATTCTCCCAGTGTGGAGCATGTTGTTTCCTCTTCTTCATGGAGACTTTTATAGAGCAAAAGGGTCCAGTCTGGGTAATGTCTAGTTTGTTGGTTTTCCTTCCATGATTGTGCTCTTAGTGTTGTAAGAACTTTTCTTGTAACCGTTGGTCTGAAGGAATTTTTTTCCTAACGGTTTTATATTTTTATAGTTGAGTTCGCAATCCATTTTGCGTTTTTTTTTTTTTTTTAAACATACATTTATTTTTGAGAGATGGAGCGTGAGCAGGGGAGGGCAGAGAGAGAGAGAGAGGGAGACATAAAATCCAAAGCAGACTCCAGGCTTCGAGCTGTCAGCCGAGAGCCTGACGCAGGGCTCGAACTCACGAACCGTGAGACCATGACCTGAGCTGAAGTCGGCCGCTTAACCGCTAAGCCACCCAGGCACCCCGATTTTGCGTTAAGTTTTGTACAAGGTATGAACTTTGGTTGAGGTTGTTTTTTTGGTCCATTTGTCCCCACACTTTGTGGAAGAGATGATCGGATCTTTCCTCTGTGGAACTGCTCTTGCAACTCTGCCAGCAGTCAGTTGGCATATTTGCCTGGTCTGTTCTGGCTTTTCTGCTCTGGCCCATCCATCGATCTGCTCTCCCACCAGAGCTCACGGTCTTGATTGCTGTGGCTACATAAGTGAGCCTCAACATTGGATGCAGTGGTTCTTCCCGTTGGGTTTTCCTTTTCCAAAATTGTCTAGATAGGTCCTGTACTGTTCCAAATACATTTTGTCATAAGATCATCT